AAACAAATTAATATTAATAAAATTTTATTTTGATTTTTGTAATTTTTAGACATTGAATAAAGTTGTGCCTTATAAGCATATGACATAACTATTCCTTGCTTGGATTGCATGTTTCAACTTTAGCATTTTTTAATCATGAAAGCTGACTTTTGACCATTTTATTATGCCTTAAATTTACATTATTTTATTTAAACATTTGAATTATTAAACTTTTATTCTTATTTGCTCCTACAATATATATTTATGGACAGGTTGTTCCAATGTTTGGCATGCTGTTGTTGTCTGAGTTTATGTTACAATGAAACTTACGGTACAGGTTGAGTCTGGCTGGCTTGAATCACACATAAATTAGTGGAGTTACAACTTAAAGGTTAGTTCAATGTTTACATTATTTTTTTCTTCTCAAAAAAAACACACAAGATCATCAGATTATTATAATTTCAAGACAATCATCATGATCATTTCTTGTTCTGGATTGTTTGTAGCCCCAAAAGTACAATCGTATGTTTGTTTTGTTTAGGACATTTAGATTTGATGCATTCACAAGTTAAGGCTTTGGTTATACCAAAATTAGCAACCTCAAGGATTGGGATGTAATTAATGCTTAATCTGCCATTTACTTCATTTTCTCCCCCACATTCTACCAAAGTTCAGAAAAGCTTGACCAGCTGTTGCTATTAAATTAGTAGTGTAAATGAAGAACATCAGATCAGCCAGCTAAATGGTGCAAAATCTATTTCTAAACCTTAAATTCAATGTTATACTACGCGTTTCGTTGAGTTCAATGACTTGTTCTTGGATGCATAGATTATGTTTATAATTTTCTAATATTGGTTGAACAACTTTTTACAGTTAGGCTGGTATAAATTTTATTTGGTGTAAACAGAAAGCAAGGTCCAATGCCTAATTTAGTTGGAACATAGATTGGTTTGTGGTGAAGATATATTGGGATATTCAAGGTTTGGCCTGCATCTTTTAAGCATATATGATAAGAGAACAACCAATCTAAGAAACCATGCAACAGATTGATGATGCCAAATGGCCAAATCCCATTATTCTTTACGCGAAAAAATTATGAATGAAAATAGCAGCAGAAAAACTATTGTTTGAGCATGTTTCACATGTCATTTTGATCTTATTGCAAGACTATGATTGATGATGATTGCCTTTCTTTCTTGTCAAATTAGACTACAGAAATGGGAAGTGAAGAACAGGAAGTGCAGTCTGATAAACAGTTTTCAGCCTGAAAGAGCTGTGCATAGGAAATGTCTTTGATAAACCTAACCATAGCAACAGGTAAGCATTTACTTTATCTAGATTGCCATGAATAACATTTGCAATTATTTGATTCTTTTGAACTCTTGACTGCTTACCAGCTTTAATAGTATTTGGTTTGCCTAGTATTAGTAACATTAATGAATAAACTTGCTAAATCATGACTTATAATCGGATTCACTCTCCCTCATTATGTCCATTGGCTTCTGCCTTTCCTTGTAAAACGATCAGATAGATGTCTTGGTGAACTTAACATGAAGTTCCATCTGCAAGACACAGGAAATTGTACTCTTGTTCTGGCGCTAAAGGGAAAATGGAATATAAAACATATTGAAATGTCCACTAATAATTTGATCCTGGAGTGTCGCAAGTCTCGGGTATGACACTGTGAAGCATACATTAATCTGGGTGACCTGATTCCCAAGAAGACCTAGAAGAAACTGAACGATCTTCGTGTGCAAACAAAGCCTCGTCTATGTTCTCCAAAACCTCTGATGTAGTTGGTCCATCTTGTGGTGAATGAGATACACGCTTAAGAGTAAAGGAAATGCCCACTGCAGGGCAGCTTTGCTGACCTCCTTGTCGAAGACCTCTCTAGTCCATTCTTCCCTTACCATTGACCTGACCCACCGAGGAAGATCTACTCCAGTGTTTTCAACAGTCTTGCCAGTTAGTAACTCCAGTAGGATAACTCCCCAGTGGAAAACATGGCCTTGTTATGATAACCTTTTCTCAGGTGCGATATAACCCGTGGAAGATAAGAGGCTTTCGGGGTCTAAAAGCCTTGAAATCCTATATTCAATTATAAATTGTTCCATGTTTTCACTAACAGTATATTTGAGAGCTTTAGATTTCCATGAGGAATGCTCTCCTGGTCATTCAAACTCTGATATATCAATGCCAAACCCCTTGCAAGCCACTTGCTATGGTCAGTCTAAGTCTCCAGGAAATTCTCTTGTACCCTAAGTGTAGCCTACAGGTAAACAAAACAACTTTCATTAAATAGGAATGAAGATACATTATTTTCAATCATTTACATGAAGAAATAACAGTGAAGATGTAATGAAAATCATGTTCATTGAATGATGGAGGAAATTTCTCAAAAATCCCACCTTAATTTCTTGATCTCCATTGATACATTTAATTAGCCTACTTAATTGTCTTAAAATTTTTAATCCGCAATCTTATACTTTCTTACCATAGCTAATACTTCATATCTCAGAAAAACTTGTTCTGACTTGGACTAAGCTAGACATTCTTAAACTCTGTTCTTGTCTCAATGATTGATGCTTTTGTTCATTAGGTTGTTCAATCATGAGACCCTCTAACTTGATTGTAAATGGAACCATGTAAAGATGGTGTTAATTTTGATTTTGATTGAATGATTACATGATTCCACTTACAATCAAGTTAACCAGAAGATCCTCCAACTTGTTCAGGCACCATCATTACATGTAATGGAACCAAAAAATAGAATGATTTATTGACTCTTATAATTCATAGTAGAAGATACAAAGAATTCTAAAACATAACATGGACAGAGTCACCAATTGATGCCAAGATTAGTTCATACATCTCTGAGGAATTCATATCTTGCTTTAGTATTTTCTATTGGATCCAAATTCTGAAAAACATCAGTTTCTGGAGTTCACAATGAATGGTAGCACACAAAACCTTCTATATCCATCCCCTTGTCAGCTTCTTTAAGGGAAACTTCTTTCACGTGCACTTATAAGTTCCATTTCATGCTTGGCTTTATCAGGAAAAGGAAGATCATAAAACTCCGCCAAGTAAGCTAAAGCTTCTGAATTAGTGTCACAGATCTTCCACAATGATGAAACCTCTCCCTTGGAAACGGTACCCCAACCCTCACAATTGTCAAGAAAGTCTAACAGCTTTCCATAGAATGAGTCATAGTTCATTATGATGAAGGGAACTGGACGCTCTGATCCAATTCCTTTCAAGCTGAATCAGTCCCAGTATCTCAAACATCTCATCAAGAGTACCAACACCACCTGGGAGAGCAACTAGAGCTGTCTTATCAGAGTTAGAACTCCGAACTGCAGCATCAACCAACCCATGCTTCCTAGCAGAGAAAAACCTGCATTTTATTTTAACCATCATTCAAATGCATAGATTTAAAGTGGTTTCAGTAAACCCCTTTGGAAGCAGTAAGGTTGACGTGCATGTAAGATACGTTTCTGGAAGCAGATATGGATGAAACTTTGAGGTAGTCCATTCTCCAGCTTTCCTACCCATCTTAAACCCACCAACTGGTCTTCCAGCTTGCAGAGCACCCTTAATAGCAGCATCCATGAGGCCAGGACCAGTCCCCGTCCATGTGGTACAGCCCAAAGGATTTGCTATCTGCTAAGCAAGAAATTAAACTCATGAAGAGGATGGAGAGAAACGAACGAAATGAAGAAAATCCTAAGCATTGGGAAAATAGTTCCAACATAGACTTATGTTTGCTAAAACGATTTAGAGAGATACACGGCTCTATAAGTTAACTCGCCTCTCTGCCCAGCTCCAGTGTTTGCAAGTAATGTGGATGGCCTGGACCTATCCTCGACGAACCCAAGTACACAACTCCCCTTCCTATTCTGTGTTTGAGTTCATAGCATTGTTCTTTCCCCTTTCTGACCTTTCAAATGAGAAAACAAAATTAGCAAATTCTCACTTCACAGAAAACCTGCCAAATGCCAATATATCTCAAAATAAAATATAACCAGCAGCAGAAGATGACATCCATTATCTAAATCTTATAAGGAAATTAAATTTCCATGCAAAAAATGGCAGCAACTCAACTTGTATCTCTAAGAGAATTTTCCATTACCATGAGCAAACTAGAAAGAATAGCATTGCACGTTCAGGCAGGACACTATATCAGCTAAGCATGTTCAGAGTTCTCAAGTATCAAAAGAAAAGAAAAAGCCAAAAAATATACCCAACATGGATCTTTGTTCGGAGATTTTGCTGGCACAATATGAATCAAGTCTAACTTTTCAAATCAAAAGCTATGGCTATCCAATACGAAAATCAGCATTCTCAAGGCTATAACATGACTCGTACATCAAAAGTGATTAGATAAGAATCAGAAATGGCTCATAAAAAGGATTGAATCTTTGGGTTGAATTGAAGATTGGGATTACCTCATTGGGGGCTTGTTCTTTCTTCAAAGTCAATAAACTAACTCTTGCAAAGTGAAACTCTTCCCAGGTTAAAAGCCTTGAAATTCTTAACCAACTTGAAGCCAACACCAAACCTCTCTTTCAAAGTGAAAGATTGAAACCTGACATTCCATAGCTGGGAATCTCTAACTGAAAAATAAGAACCTAATGAACCCAACACTGCAAACCCCATTAAAACACCCTCCAAATGTATCAAAGACAAGTTGTTATCTTAAAATTTGCAAGTTGTGAGGGAGTTTTAGAGAGATAAGGAATAATTGGGTTCCAATTTGCTTTGCTTGTTGTTGCCATTGTTAACGAAGTTGGGAGCTTTGGTTGTCTCTAATCTGTTGGGACAATATTTTAAGGTTGTAATAAATTAAACGGTTGTCATTTTTTAGGTTATTTTTAAAGGAAGTGCTTTAATGCTAAATCATGAACCCAAACAATTTATTGGGCCAAAAGATATCATCTACCCATGGACTACATTGCCCTGACACAAACCCAACCCAAATAGGATATTATTGTAATTTCACAAGAACTAGGGTTTTTGGGTAAACCAAGCTTCAAATCTCCTGCTGTCACTACCTCTGAAACCCTAGCATCCTTCTCTTGGGAGATTTGCTTCAACACAAAAACCCCCCAGAAGGCTTGATCTTTTCCCTCAGCCAAAATGGGTATTTATCAAATTCCTCTAATTTTTCGTTAATCTTTTCTAAATCATGTGATTTTCTTGTTTAATGATTTTAATTTCTTTTTCTTGATAGGTATTTCTCGTGATTCCATGCACAAGAGGCGTGCCACTGGTGGCAAAAAGAAGGCTTGGAGGAAGAAGAGAAAGTAATATGCAAAACCCTTTTTTTTTTTTTTGTTTTTGGTGTTTTGATTTTTCTTGATCATTTTTCCTCTGTTTGGTTGCTTAGATAGTTTATTTAAAATGATTTAAAAGATGGTGTTTTTGTTCTTGTAATTTACTTGACCTAATATTATAGTTTCGGCCTTTAGTTTTAGATTTAGCTTCATTTTATTGTCATATGAAATTCTTGTTGCAATTTTATTGAGCTTTATTTGGATTTTTTTGGTTAATTGATTCTAATTGCATAGCTTGGCTGTAATCTATGCTATTTATTTAATGACTGTAAAAGTTGTGCCTTTCTAGTTTGTTTAGATGCCATAGATCTTGTCCTGTTTCCTTTGTTATTGGGTTATTTCACTTGATGTTTTCAATCAGAGTTTATATTGTTTTCTAAATTATGGTGGTTTATTTTTTAAGGTATGAGCTTGGAAGGCAACCAGCAAACACAAAGTTGTCAAGCAACAAGACAGTCAGGAGGATTAGGGTTCGTGGTGGAAATGTGAAGTGGCGTGCTCTGAGGCTTGACACTGGAAACTATTCGTGGGGAAGTGAGGCTGTGACTCGTAAGACCAGAATTTTGGATGTGGTGTACAATGCATCCAACAATGAGCTGGTTCGCACTCAAACTCTGGTCAAGAGTGCTATTATTCAGGTTGATGCTGCTCCATTCAAGCAGTGGTATCTCCAGCACTATGGTGTTGACATTGGTCGCAAAAAGAAAACAGCAGCAGCAGCCAAGAAAGAAGGAGAGGTAGGAGGATTATTTTTATGTTTTGGTCACTTGGACACTGCTTCAATAGATTAGTTCCTATGTTGATGAGTTAATTGTCTTTATTGGCAGTTTGTGTTTTTCTTTTAATATTTTGGTGTCATATGGAAATTGATCCTTGATGTTGTCCACTGTGTTAGTGAGTAGCCGATTTTAGTTTCTCTTTCTTCTTTTCCTGCAAGTGGCTATTTGTCTTCGCTCGGTTCTACTTATTGCACTATTAGAGCTGTCTGTGCATATGAGAGGTTATTTCTATATCCAATACTTGGACTCAGGGATGAGTGTTAGATAAGGGTATGTGTCCGACAATGGTATGCCTGATTTTTTTCCTTAGTTTTCCATATATGTGGAGGGTTGGACCTCCATAGGTGCTTCGAGGAAATGAAGAGTTAGAGCAACATAGATTTATGTTGTGCTAGCATGTTAGTTGGTTTCTGCACCTTCTCCAACTTGGCTCCTTACAAAATGGAAATTATTAGTAATACAGGTTATATGGTAGGCAAGACTTGAGGTTAAGCATAATGATGTTTCTGCTTCTTTTAATCTTCAACTGAGGTTATTGCTGTTTACAATTTTACATTGTTTCGCTTCATTTGTATTTAGGAAGGTGAAACTGTTACTGAGGAGGTGAAGAAGAGCAACCATGTCTTGAGGAAGCTGGAGAAACGCCAGCAGAATCGCAAGCTTGATCCGCATATTGAGGAGCAATTTGGTAGTGGTCGTTTGTTGGCTTGTATCTCTTCAAGGCCTGGTCAGTGTGGCCGTGCTGATGGGTATGTCATGTCTTGAAAGTTAGCCTCAATAAGAGCTTTTCCATTCACTAATCTCTTGGATGATATGAAAGACAACTATTTTTTAGGTCATACTAATTATTTTCATTCTTATTCTGATATGATGTCAAATGGTTTTGACAGGTATATCTTGGAGGGCAAAGAGCTGGAATTCTACATGAGGAAGATCCAGAGAAAGAAGGGAAAGGGAGCTGCCTAAAATTTTGTTACTTGATATATCATCTTTCTCATCAGAATGGCCTTTTTCCCTTGCTTCCACCTTTGCAGAACATTAAGATTGTGTTAGTGTTGAACTTGTAGTTTGAATGTCAACTAGTGTGTCCTATTCATGAGTATTATTTTTTGTATTTGAAGTTAGATGATCTTTAACTTTATAAGTACTGTTTTTGTATTTAAAGTTAGTTTTTACTTGCTTAACTCCTTTGCTTTATCTAGCAAGTGGTATTATAAACTAGATTTCTACTCGAGCATATTATAACAAGATTTAGCAATTTAAAATGATACGATGGTATAACACAAAAATCATAAAAAAAATATGATAATGATAGGAATTAAAATTTTAATAATAATCAGATACAAGTTTTTTTTGTATTAAAAAAAAAAAGTGGCACCAAATTTGTGCAAAATTCAATGCGAATAAAGAAGGTTTCAGTTTTGCTCAAATGACTGATTATCATGTACAATGATTGGAGCCAATGCCAATGCTAAAGCTTGAAAGAAACCCTGGGACACTGCATGTAGAGCCTAAACCAAAGTGACATCCTAATGCCAGTTCTTATTACTATAAGCACAAGATGAGAGCAGAGAATGTGAATAAAACCAAGGTAAATGGAGCAACAAGGGCAACTCTATGGTTTGCCATATTTCTTTCTTAACCTCTCCTTGACAAAATCATCTCGAGCTTTAGTTCGTGCTTGCTGAGGAGCAACGTGTACATAAGAGAGATGTTTACCGATTGCGAAAAGGCCTGCACCAGCAATGAAGCACCCCACAGTCATAGCTAGCTTCTTGGGTGTGGATGGAAAGCAGGAAACCATCTTTGCCTATCACCAAAGCAAGTGCACGCCACAGATGGATAAAATACCTATAAAAAATACTGTTTAAAATGAATCATGTCACATGATGAAGAACAAATATAAGCAAAACTAATTCAACAAACCTTGAAAATGTTCGAGCTAACATAGATCCCAGAAGCAAACAAATCCACTAATGTACACACTTTAAGACCTCCCATTGAGGGGCTTAGGTGGGTAACGTTAAAAACATGGATTATTGTTATTAGAATTATTACAAACCAAAGTGAATTTGACAATATTCCCACAAATGCTCTGCTCTCATAACTGCAAATTGAACACATGCTTTTCTCAGAGGCAATTTGTCAGACATTTGGCAGGCTTTCTTGATTTACCCAAGTTTATTTCAGATTAACCTTTGCCTTGAGTAGTTGCAGTAGCGAATAATGACACGATATAGAATATAAACACAATGTTTAAGCACCATATCATGCATATATGTCCATTTCATATCTGTGCGCATGCATGCATGTACATTTATTTGTCCTAAGCTAAACTTATGTGTTTCTTCATTTAAGTGTACATCTGGTAATTTATAAAACAATGATATTACATGAACACAATACAAAAATAAAATATAAAGATGACACAATTTAAAATTTTATTAATAATTATATGTGAGTTTAACAAAATTAAACAATGTGTTTCATATTTTCGTATCGAACTAATTTTACGTATGTATGTATATGTAGCTACTGAATTTACAAAGTAATACAAACACAAAATTCATACCTCAAACTGCTTTAAACACACGAGTTGCCAAAGAATGAAGTTCAATTTTTCTTTTTCTTTGGATCAAATAATTTAGATATAGTCTAAGGGTAGAATATTTTGAGTTTCAAATTCGACATAAAATAAGACAAATTCAAGGGGCAACCCTTGCCGGACCCTAACTGCGATTATCGAGGTAAATGTAAGCCCATTTGGAGAGTATTAATGATAATTCGAAATATGATACAAATACCAATAAGTGATTAGTTTAATCAGTTAAGTTCGTCTTTTTCGACGAAAAGGTTTTGAGTTTGAGTTTGTCGGTGATAACTCGTTAGGGTCATCTCGAATTGATCAACTTGCAGTCACCTGTCTTAAATTATTAAGTACAGTACATCTTATTCTGACATAAAAAATTAAACAATCTATTTACTCTCGAATTTATTTTTATAAAAAAAATGATATAAATAGATATATAAAAATAACATAGTTTAAATTTTTATAAAAATATATATTTTTGATAAAACTTAAAATATAAATTTTATATTCCAACATACCAATATAAATTATAATATAATAACTTTTGTGTTTTATATTTATGTAATATTTAACACTTATTTATCATATAACGGAGATATCATGATTTTGAGACCGTTAGAAAAATTTAAATACAAATCACCATTAATTTTTTTAGTTAGATGCAATTAATCATTTATTAAAATTTATTTTTTTAATAAAATTTTAAAATTAATTAAAAAAATTTTTAATCTACAAAAATAATTTAAGTTCGGAAAGTCCAAAATTATTAACACCCTACGGCGCCAATACCCAGACTTAAGGAGGATCAAGGAGGATTCGACTCAAGAAGGGAACTCAACAAAAACCTTGGAATCCACGTCCCCAAATCTTACGCGCGCACACAAAAAAAAAAAAAAAGCTGAAAGGAAAAAGCACTCATATAGCATCATTTTCATTTAAGAAATGTTCATCCTCAATTCATCCTGAGACACACTGTTATCATAGAGTTACAACATACAATCATCTAAAAAAACCCATGTCACATTCAAAGAATACAAGGAAAGAAAACAATAACGTGTCCAAGAATTGTTCCAAAGAAAAAAATTGAACTTTAACCTGTAAGCTAAAATCTAATGATGACAATATATCAGACTTAAATTTTTCCATCTTTGAATGATTGAATAATGCCGATATCCATCACCAACCAGATTGATTTCGGCGTCTCCTTTATCATTTGTTCATATAGCATATCTTTCTTTGAGTTAGTTATGAATTCAATCCCTTAACAGGAATGAACAACCTGTAAAGAATCTCTTCTATGTTTCTTCAGTAAGTGCCGGATAAAAACCAGGAAAAAAGAGCAAAATCTTGCAAGGACAGCTCCAACAGGAAGTTATAGTTCCAAGCTTAGATGAGGTTACTTGGAATTTCTGTCAGAACCAAAATATTTTAGCATCCAAGACTCCTCATTATCTTGTTAAGCTTATCAATGACAACTCCAGGTTTGGCATGTGATCCGTCAAGGTTAATGGCATGATACTGCAATCCTTTCCACTGGGCAATCAATTGAAAGTGTGGCCGTCTGAAAAAGCTGCTAATAAGCTCGAGAATCACCGTGTTTGGTGTTGCAGATACTATGTGTGTGAGACCAGCACCATGAGCACCAATGATAACTGAAGCATCCTGAATGGCTTGGACCTGTTCCTTCATGGTCATGTGAGCAAACAAACCATTGATGAGGTTTACTTTGCATTGCAGATGATTAGATGCCCACCTCTGTAGTGAATCAAACACTTCTTGTTCATTGCTAAGTCTAGATTCAACTTTACCTTTATGGCGTGGATGAGCTAAGTAATCTTCTCGACGTACAAAGAGAACATTATGACCTGAGGCTGCCTTCTCAGCATGATGTCTGTTTACCGGAAACCCAAAAGCAATTCTGATCATTTCTCCAAACTCAGATAATCGAGCTGTTTTTTTGTCATCAGGGCTTTGCCATAGATCTTGTGCAGAAGCTCCATGACAGTTTATATCTTCGGTAAGCCCTTTAAATAATGGAGTCTCATATCCCAAAGGCGATAAAACAGCGTGGCGGAAACAGACAGGACCACTAAAGTTTTTAGCAAATCTGAGGCTTGAAAACAATGCTTTCCATGTATCTTCTAATTGCGTCTGGAAATATTCAGCCAAGAAAAAAAAATCAGCAATTGTAGGATAATAAAGCATTTTAGCAGACAAACCATGTAAACTCAAGAGGAGATGTTTAAAACATTGATAATAAACAACTTCTTGTTGCAAGCATAGGGAACAGGGGGATCACTGATGACATGTTACACCTCGGCAGCACAACTTAAAAGGAAGGCAAATCGGGGCAGTGGCACGTAATAGAAGTTCTTCAACCATAGCAAACAGAAGATTCCTCATGGTTGAGAGTTGAAAAAGAAAAGCTAATATACAAAAATCAAATACTATCCTTGTGAAATAAAATAATAATAATAATTGTATAAGAATTAATTTTAGCAGCACAAGCATTTGATGTAATGTTGAAATTAAGCTTAAATGTAGCTAACTTGAAGAATTTTGCTTACTGTATTGTAAATAATTCAGGATGAACCATATCTATATGACATTTTTGCCATTTAGTGAGGATGACTGCTGAACTTATTAGAACAATGCATCGGGGAAGACAAGAAATTAAGCATTGAGCAAACATTACAGTTACGTATTCGAATGCGGGAAGGATGGGTTTAAATAGGTAATATAATTCTCTCATTGTTTCATTATTTATTAACCCAACATTCCTCCCAATTCCAATCTATGAACCCTCTCCCCTCATTCCATTCAGGCAAGAAAAGACGCTTGTCCCAGCCTAAAACATCAATTTTTTCTCATTAATTCTTGTACATAAAGAACAAATAACATGGTAATAAAAGAACGGTAATATGTTACAAAGAACAAAGAGTATGTTAGAAACTGAGTATGGAATATTGAGCAAGTATACCTCACAATGACCATCCACAAAGACCACATGCGGCCGATTAGGCAAGCCGGTAACCCTAGAAGACACATATGCACTGTACCAATCCGTCACAGTGTGGAAAAGATTTGCGTACTCATATCTTGTTACCAGAAGTGTAGGCTCCTCTACCCACTGTAATCAGAGCTTTCCACATCAGAATCCATAAAACCAGAACTAACAATCAACAAACTGAATTGATTTAGAAGAGGAATTGAAGAAACTAACTAGCTAATATAGCAAGAATTAAGTTCATATTTCCATAAAAATGGCATAAATTAGAAGAAGGAAAAAAAAATGAATTGAATTAGAAGAAAATGAACAAATCAACTACTCTGCAAAATCAAACTCATTTCTACTTACAAATTATATCAGTTTTCTACTTTCTAACTAACTGATATGACACCAAAGTTGCAGCATCTCACTTCATAATAATTGGGAAATCAGAATCAAGAAAAGCAACTATTAGACCGATAAAACTTGGGCTGTAAACAAACCGAACATGAACAAACGAACGTATGTTTGTGGTTTGTTCATTTATTTTTAGAGGTGCTCAAGTTCGGTTTATGTTCGCTAAGAAAATTGTTTTGTTCGTCCGTGTTCGGTTTGTTTATATAGTAGATTTAAATAGTAGGTTGTTCGCGTTTGGTTCGTATTCAGTTCAATTAAGTTAAACGAGCTCATTCGTGAACATTAAACGAATATGTTCACGAACATTTATAAACAAACATATTTATGAATAATAAACAAACTATAACCAAACAAATTTAAACAAACAAACCCTAAACAAATATAAATGAACCCAAACAAACATAAATGAACCTTAAAATATTATTAGTAATTTTATTAATATCATTATAAACAAATAGCAAATGAACAACAAACGAATAATAAACTAACGAGTTTTAAACGAGCTTATTCACGAACATAAACGAATCAAACAGACCTCTATTCGTGTTCAGTTCGTTTAATAAACAAACATAAAAATATTGTTCAAGATCATTTGTTAAGTTTAACAAATGAACATAAACAAACAAAAATCAAACATGCTCACGAACGGTTAATTAAAAGTTCTATAGGATTACACCCTAGATAAAACTAACTAATCCAGCTAAGACAGGATAAATTTCCCGATACAATACACAAATAGATCAGCCTAAACATCGTTTTTGACATACAGACTTGCATTAAATTATAATCTATATCTGCAGTAAGCATTAATATACTTCCAACTAATCAGGAAGTTAGAAAACCATCATCATTACTATGAATAAAATCAAACCCAGAATTTGCAATTTCATCAAACATCAAGATCAATGAACAGAAATCAAAACTATGAAAACAAGATTCAGAAACTGAGTCTAACCTCTTGACAAGTGAAATCGTTTTCACCCACAACAACAATAGACCTAACCAATTCCCTCATAGTATGCCTTAAAACATCCCCAACAGGTAAAAATTCATCCAAATACTCCTCCCCAACAAGCTTCGTTTTCTTTAACCTTGCTCCTCCTTCACCTTCAACCTCAAAAGCTCCATCTTGAAACTCAGGCAACTCTTCTTCTTCATTTCTCCCAATAACATCCTCCAACTTTTCACCTCCTCTTGACATCTTAATCTTCTCAGGATCCATCCTTATTTTCCCACCTTCACAAACTGAACTCCTCAAAGTCCCAGAGTAATGACACCTAAACCAACTCGACCCGGATCTCACGGCGGCTTTTGCGGATAAAACATCAGCCACCCTTGTAAACCCATTTCCAAAATAAGCTTCACATGACTTTAAATCTACGTTTGGGGTCAAAGACCAAGGCAGATATGATGGGATGATTGGCCAAGGCTTTGACAAATGGGGTCCACGGTGTGGGACTATTCCGGGAAAACTCTCCACCGTCGTGTCACGATGGTTCTGCGCCAGATGCTGGTGGTTGTTGTGATGGCCGGCTGAGAAGTAAAGGTAAAGAGAGATGGAATTTAGAGCAAAGAGAGCTAAGAGGACCTTGAGAAGAGTTGAATGTTTCTTGTTCATGTTTGGGTTTTTTTTTTTTTCAAATTAGGTTCCGAAAGTTTAAGATTTTGGGTTTTTGATGACTATAGTTTGACAAGAAACAGGTTTCTGTTGGGAAAGTCTTGTGTTTTGTTTCTGAGAAGTTTCGGTAATTTAGTTTGTGTAGGAAAGTAAAAAGTGAAGGTCGCAAACGAGTATTAGTTTTGTACTTTAACTTTTGTCTTTTGAATTTTGATTATATTCTTTTTTTTTTACCAAAAAAAAAAAAAAAATCAATATTCCCATCTTTTCAATTTTCTTAGTATTTTTTTAATATGGTGAATAAAATGAATAGTTCTTATTATTAATAAGGTTTTAAAAGTTACTTCATAAGGATGAAAAAAAAATAAAAAAATTATAAATTAATTTAAAATTATAGTGTTTAATTTAGTTTGAATCGATTTTTTTATTTAATTTAAATTAAATTTAAATATTAAATATATATATCAAATTTAAATTAATTTTAAATCAGAGGTGAAAAATTAAAAAAAATCGAATTAAATTATATATAATTTTTTAATTTATATATATTGTAAAATTTTATAAATAAAAATAATAATTTTATATCAAAATTTACTTAAATATATTAAAATAATATATAAAAATTAAAAAAAATTTAAAACTTGTAAATCAAATGAAACTGATAAAATTAAATTAAATTTAATTTAGATCGAACAAAAATTCAATTTGAATTTGAATCAAATTTTAAACTTATATAATATTATATAATATATGATCAAACCATTACACCACTATTTAATAAAATGTTTTTTTCTTTTGACAAGAATCAAGGAAAAAGAAAGTTATTAAATTTAAAATAAATGATATAAATCCAATTTTAAGTTAAAAACTTTATTTTAGAGTTTGAACAGGAAAAATTTGGTGAGCTTATTAAATTAATTGATTTATTGATGTGTAAATGACACTTAACCTACAAAATTTTATCCATTTTAATTTTAAGATCATTAAAACTCATTAAACAAATATTTTAATTTTTATTCCAAGGCCAAAACCAAAGAGAAATTGTTATCAATTGCTCCACTTTCACCAAGTCAACATCTCAATTTTTTTCTTCTCCTTATAGCAATCAAGACCATTTGGTGCATAAAATTAAGGAAACATCCCATGACTCTCTTTGACATACTCTTTGCTAAAATTAACGAGTTCATAAGACAAAACAAGAACCAGAAAATCCAGGTTAGGACCAGCTTATTGACCCATTGAGCTTTTATTAGCTGATGAAATTGGTGAGACCTTTTGCAACTTTGAAGTTTTGATTTTTCATTTTTGTGAAAGATGATAAATTCTAAATCTGAAGATTTATTTATATATTCTCATAGTATAAAATATTAAAATTTATATATTTATACTATATTTTATTAAACTCATATTAAATTATTATTAAAATTTTAAATTATATCATCGTAACCTTTATTCAATTCTTGTTTATATTATATCACCGTGTTTTTCCTAGATTTAATAGAGTCTACTCATGCTTTTTTTTTTAAATCAATCTTGAGATCCAAATCTTTTTCATGCTTTGATTATTTGATCCATAAACACAAAAGAACAATCACAAGATATCTTAGACCAAACAAATAGGGAATGGATCCATCAGATGCATGTACCGCTTGCATACCTACAAAAATAAAAGATAAAGAATTAGCTGCTGCTGCTTGGAGGGCGAGAAAGCTACAGAAAAAAAGTAATATTTGCAGCAAGCACTCTTACAGCAACAGCTTCAAGCTAATTGATATCCAAGCAATGTGATAGAAAAAGGGGAGGGGGGGGGGGCAAAATGGTTGCGAGCAGGCAGACTCTTCTACAGTGTCAAAACAATAAATAAATGGCGATAAGCATAGCCGTTAGCGGGGCAATGACACAGGCAGCAACTTTAGGCTGTCCATTTGGTGATGTTGGGGCTGTTGCAGCACCAGACAGATTAGAAGTTGGGGTTTTTGCAGCAACAGGAGGCAATGGGGGCTCAACAACATCTCCCTCGGTCAGGTAAGGGTTTGGAGCTTCAGCTGGTGGCAAGTATGGAAGTGTGATTAGTAGCCAAAGACCACCAGGCTGAACGGGGCTCATGTAACCAGGTATTTTACTGCCTCTGTTCAAGCATCGGTTCCCTAAAAACAGATTATCACATCAATACCAGTCTGTAACATAGAAAAAAGTCGGTAGTCCAATGCGATGAAAATTTTATTGTTTCAGCATATAGTAGTACCAAATTTCAACCAGCAGGCACTTACTGCGGTATCTATCAGATGTCTTTGGGAAATCAGTAATGACACCATTAATTCCGGCTCCCATATAGAAGGAATTGATCTCAACAGTAGCATCAGAGAAGAAGTCCCATGCTTGAGATGTGAACTCGTTACTGAAGGTTTGAACAAATACAGAGAGATTAGCTGCTTGAAGTCTTGGTACAACATTTGTAACACCAGTGAGGAATGCTGCATTTTTGGGAAAGACGGAGTCCTTGCTAATGACCACAGCGCTAGCAAGTCTCTTAATATCATCAATTGTTCCACTTGGAGCACCACCGATATCTTCATCAACCTTGTAGACAAGCTTATAGTTGGTTTTACCCTTGAACTTCTTTAGAACAGAGCTATTACTGGACTGTATCATAACTGTCTGAGCTGTCTGTTCATCATAGCCGGCTTTGCTCAAGGCATTAAGCACTGCATCAGTTACACCAAATCCCTGCTCTGAAAGATAAGGAGCATTCTGAAAGGAATAAACAAGTCAAATGTGTCAAATATCTTTATAGATATTCCTGTTATGTTATCAAGGAAGAAACCATTTGAAATACAG